TCTGGTTAGCAGTCAAGTGCCTTAGGCACTATGCTACTAGAGCTCCCAAAATAGCTAATGCTTACCAAGAGATTTTTATGTGCCATATACTATTGTGATTTCTTTAAATGTATTTATGCATTTAGTCTTCCCAAGAACTCCATGCAATGGGCATTAGGCCAAGAGAAGTTAAATAATTTGCCAAAATCGCCAGAAGTGACAGAGCAGAGATTTAAACTTAAGCAGTCTATTCTTAACCATTGCACTAACCTGGCTTTGATGCTAAGGATGATTGTTACAGTTCATTGTGTGATTTTCATGCATTACCTTATTTAATCTTTATGATTACTGAATAGATTCAATTATTTTTATTTTATAGGTGAGGAAAGCAAGGCTTTGAGATTAATTCCTCAGTAAGAGAGATAGCATTGGAATTTCAGTCAGATCTGTCATACTCCAAAGCCCCTCCTCTTAAAACTACTCTGCGATTTTGTTTTGTGGGGTTTTTTTTTTTTTTAATTTTTATTTTTTTTTGTCTCAATGCATTTACTCAGTAATCTTAAGGATGTCATTAAAACTGAAGGAAATATTGAAAAGGAAAACTATAGGTAATGTAAGAGGGGAAAGCCTTAAAACCTATATGAGCTGCCTAGCAAGAGTTGGGTGAGTGATTAATGGCATTGAGAAGTGATACCAGTATAAATTCTGTTGAAAGAGTGGAAAGTGTGAAATGGAAGTGTGAACTGTTAGATATGAAAAATACCACCTCTGGATCAAGTGTTTTTCTGTGCATTAAATTTGCTATGGACTATTATTATTTATAAAAGATATCATTTCTTTTTGTATAAAAATTGTTCTTTAGCCCTTAACAGGTTTACTTTTGAGAGATAGATAAGCATAATACTTCTTTACTCTTTTCCCTCCCACATTGGCTCTGCCATTTGTTTTTCTAACAAACTCTGTCTACATAACTTGCCAAGGTGAATTTCAGTCTAGTCCAGATAAAGTAATAATCAGTTCTTAAATCAGAGTGGGTTGTATAATAAGGCTTTACTCTAAGGTATTTTAGTAGCTAAACTGAAGTTACTTTTTTCTTTTTTCATGTTTCATTATCCATATTCTTAGTGAGTAAAGATGAAAAGTTTTAGATAGAACTCTTCTACCAGTCTCCTTTAACTAGCAAGCTCAATTCAATTTAATGCAAAAAACAAGTTTTGAGTCCCTTATATGTGCCAAGCACTGCTGATCATTTGGGAACACAGATAAACAAGGTCCAGGTTGACATCAGGTTCAGTGGAGAAGACAGAACATGTAAATAATACCAGTGCAATGCAGGTTAAGTAATTATGAGAGCAAAAGTAATATAAAAGATGTAGAAATGTGGAGGGCAGAATATGGGGTTTTAGGAAAAGTTTCAGAGAGTAGAATTCTCCAAGAGGTTTTGGAAGAATGAATAGGTGTTTTTTTTTAGAATTATAAAGGTAGACAGAGGTTGATAATGTTAACAAGTAAAGAGAGGACTTTCTAGAGTTGCCAGTAATTTGTTGTAGAAGGATTGATTATACCTGCTCCCTTCCCCCAAAGTCCTGAATGCTGAGGGAGAAAATGGAGCATGTGAGTCTGACTCTTGAAAATGCAGTCTGGGTATTTGTGGCTGTTCAGTTTCTGAAGGTACAGACTCGCTTTGTAGAACCCACCTTTTGCTTTGCTTGTCTCTGTTACCATTCTGGATATTGAACTAGTGGGGTAAACAGTCCTTCACTCAGCCTGTCTGTTGACTCACCCTGACTTGTATACACACCACAGGGCAGTACCTTAGCATAATACTCTTTATCAGATCTGACTTTTGCTACTTTACTGCATATTGTACTCAATCTGAGGAAATGTGGAATAAGAACTGATCCCTCTTTTAAATTCTATTCACTGTGACTCAATCAATATTACATGTTTTCAACTTGATATTTTTATTCTTTGAAGGCTTAGAGCTCCTCTTTTGTTCCACTTGTCTTTTTTGTTTGTTTGTTTGTTATTTACCTTCATTCTTTTTTTTTGTTCCATTTGTATTTGTTTTAGGCTTCTCCCTTGGCTTTCCTTCTTTCGATGGTCACAAGAATCTTTATCTTACTAAACTTTTCCAAATTAAGTATTGACCTTTTTAAAAAATAGGAATAACTTGATCTCTTTTCTGTTTATAAAAATAATGGTTTTATGATCAAAAATTAAAAAATGTAGGAAAATACTAAGAAAAAGTATAAATTTTCTCAGTCTTACTCACAGACATGTACCTCTGTTGACATTTTAATACTTGCAGTTGATAATCTCTGTTTTCTTCCTACGTGAGGGATCAGCTC